AGGGGAAGGGGGAGGGTAAGTGCACTGCATCTGGCCCTCCGTCCTGCCTCCTGACCTCATCCCTCTGCCGTTCGGTGAGCACCAGTCGGAAGGCTTGGAGAATGTGACCAGGTGTGTAGCCATCGGACACCTTGGCCAGGGCACTGATGTCCAGGTGACCCAGAGCCACCTGGACTCTGGGTGTGCAGCAAGTGTTTCCAGAGCTGTGTCTGCAGTAGCTTTTTCTCCTCCCCCAGAACCCCCCATCCCTCTGCCCGGCATCCTGCTAGAGCCATGGTTTCTTTTAGTTCCACCAGATGCTTCAGGCCACACTGTCAGACCCTGTGGCCCTCTCTCCTGTGCTCCCATAGCCACCTCACCACCCTGGGGGGTGCCACCGACTCAGAGGTAGGGAAGTAAGGGGCAGCTGGTGCCAGAAACAACGAAGGGATCCTAAGACACAGGTGGCACTTTCAGGCTCCCACTCTTGAGGAAACCAGGTGAGCCAGGCCTGCCCACAAGTCCTTCCCTGTGACTTCTAGTTCCCTCACAGGCTGAACTCCATGGGGCAGCAGAGAGAGGAGCCCAAGGCGTGCTGCACGCCGGGGGTTTAGAGAGCTGCCTCGCTCTGGTGCTAGCCCACAATCCTCCCCGCTGGCTGCCCCCCTACCCACCAAGCCTCACCTTGAGGGATGCCTCCTCCTCCCTGTACACTGGCTCCAGCTTCGCCAGATGAGCTAGGAACTCTGAGGCCATCAGGGGCCGCCTGGACAATTGGAGGAGCCGCCGCTCGGTGAGCACCAATCGGATGGCTTGGAGAATGTGACCAGGTGTGTAGCCATCGGACACCCTGGCCAGGGCACTGATGTCCAGGTGGGTCTGGGTCACGTGGATTTTCTCCATGTGCAGCATGTGCTTCCAGAGCACTGCGGGGTGGGGGAGGAAACGGGGCCGAGAGGCCGTGAGCCTCTCCTCCCAGGACGGTGGGGATCATCCCCACTCAACACAGGAAAATGAGACGGGAGGACTTAAGCAGCCGGCCCTTGTCCACAGAACCGGGCCAGGACCCAGGCCACTGGGCTGCTTGTATCGCAACCGGCCCTTCCAGAGCACTTGGCTGTGGAGGTACTGCTCAGAGCAACAGTGGGGGATGGGAATAAGAGTGGGGAGCTTTGGCAGGAACCACATTCCCAGGCCTCACCATAGCGAGAAGCGTAATCGGGCCGCGGCATGAAGAGAATCCGTTCGTAGGTCCGGCGCAGCCCCTTCATCTCGGCGAGCTGCGGTTGGTTAGTGGTCCCTATCAGCATGACACGGTCTCCGGGATTCAGCAGGCGCAGGGCCTTGGTGAGGTCCTTCTTTATTCGCTTTGGGTCCATCTGCTCGGGGGAGAAGGGGTGGGGGTGGGGACACGGTGACTCATTATGTGGGCTTCCAAGTACTCAGGGCACCTGTCCACACGCACAGGGACCCTGAGAGGCAGACGGGAGCAGCTGTCAGTCCTGCTTTAAGGAGAAGGAAATAAGGCAGGAGGAGGACAGGGGACTTGTCCAAGGTCACGCCGTGGGTGTCACTTGGAGTGGCTTACCAGGGGCTCAGGCTGCCTGCCCCTGCTCCCTTACCTCCTTCTCCTCTTTTGGGACCTTCTTATAGAAATTCTTCTCGGCATTTCCAATCCAGATCACTGAGGGCTGTAGGAGTCGAGCCACCTGGACAGGTCAGAATAGAAGCCTGACAATAGCCATTCCTGGGCAAGGCTCACCTCCCCATCTGGCCCAACCCAGGGTCAGGGCCAGCCTAGGGCAATGGTGGCCAGGTTCCACTTCCCACATACTGTTGACCCCACCTGCCAGCCCTTTGCACACCCATCACCCTTCAGTGTGAGCAGAGTCCTTGCCCTCCCTGGGGGTTGGGGGTGGCTACATCCTACGCCTCATCTCTCCTCCCAACTTCGCCCCACCTCCCCCATTATGGGGCTTCAGGTGTCCACAATCTCCTAGCAGAGCTTGGTAAAGACCTCACCAGCTCCTGAACTCACACCAACTAGGCAGATGGGTGGCCTCCTGAGCATAGAGCCCACCCTGCTCTGTTGTCACAGCCTGAGAACTAGAAATGCCGAACCTTAAAGACAATATGCACTAGCATCTGCACCCCGGCCTTGCCAGGGTATTTGCCCTGCAGGTTGGCAGGTGACAGGTCAAACAGGTTGGCACCAGTTTCTGTGCACACGGCATTGACCAGCATCTTCTTCCCCACGCCGGAGGGGCCCACCAGGA